TTGTATTACCTCGATTAATTACAATTGTCGGGCCAGCGCCCGCTCCAATTACATTTCTCGCCAGCTCGGCTCGAATCGCGCCAAAAGTCCGCGCCAGGGCCACATTAACCAGCGATACATCGCGATAATTAACCCGCCCGGTTTAATTAACCCGTTTCGTTCCTCTTTCTTTTTTTAAAAACGAGGCTCGTTGTGTGCGCGCGTCGTAACGAACGCCGCGAGCAGAGAATCGCAACGGAGGAAACCGCGTACAAGCGATGTCACGGTCGAGTTAAAATTAGCAAGTCAACCGGATTCTGGCGGGCCCGTGACGATATTCAATGCCGGAACTATTCCGCGTCGCCCAGTTCCTCGGCCCATTGTCTCCCTTCAGTTATCGATAAGACCGCCACCAGGAATAGTTGAATGTTTTCGAATCTCTGATTGGAAGTGCGATAAGAGTTACGCGTTTTGTGGAAAGGACGAGGATGTGGACTTTGACCGCTTATACGAGATGACAACTGATAACGTGTCTTTAAATATTGCTACACGATTTAGATGCTGATTTCAGATTCTTCGTTCCGGTCTTCGGACAGTTTCGTTTCACTGTATAAATTTATAAATATTGTTAAACCTCGAGAAACAGTCATAATACGTGACTTCAATTAGCAATTCGATTAAACATAGAAATGTCTTGGAAGGCACAAAAGCACGAAATTCCAATAGTTGTAGAAAAAAATTTCAATTCTGCGTTTGTCGATGAACATTTTATCACTTATCAAGAAGCCTCAGAAGAATTAGCAAAGTTTCTGAAGCTCGATGAGACGCGCAGTTTGCTTACGGTTAATATTTATGCGCCACGCTGTATGTCCGTCGTGTTTTACATGCAAATATACGATCGATGGGATGGGGGCGAAAAAACTGCTGTCATTGCGAGGCGGGCAAAAATTAAAACGGTCCATGCGTGATTTATACCGCGCCGTATAAAACGTGTAATGAATGGGGGGACTCGTGTGTGCGCGCTTACACGCAGCCGCGTAATCAATACGGAGCTTAAAGTTCGCGCCCCGACTGCAAATAAAATCAGTTTACCCCATTTTTTGTTAAAATGCCTACGGGAGAATGTCAACAAACGTTAAAAGTTCAGAAATTTGAAAACGATTGAAACAGGAATTGTCTAAATATGCTAGCGTAATCTTCGCTTTAAATATCTGGGTATAAGTGAACATTCTCATGAATTCTTTTTAGTATTGTTAGATTGATTCGTTTCCACGTGCAAAAGTCTTCTTTAAACATCAAAAATGAGAAATAGAAAATACATTTGAAAAACCCGGATGAAACTACCGGATACGTATCTATTTGTCCATTAAACGAGAGTAGCCTGTATTTAAACAAAGAGGAAAACAGTAAGAACTGTGAACAGAGAGTGCGGCATTTGGAATGGTATCGGGGCCTCAAAATGGAAGCGGCGGCACGGCGAGAGGAAAAATCGAATCCGGTGGCTTGCTCGCGCACGACAGATAGCGTGGCCGTAGTCGATTCGGAAGAATGGGCGGCCAAGCGCGGGAGACAATGGGCGACGTTTTTGCCGGCGACTGTACGCGCCGCGACACACACGATGTATGTAGGTTACGAACCGAGGGACGCGGGTATCGATTTCAGCGCGGTATGCACCACACACCTTCGCTACTGGAATGCACACCTTCCGAAGCCCCGGTTCTCGAGTACTCAATTCTTTGTCGATTACTCGACTTTCTTAATCGTTTAATAGTTTTCTCACCGGATTAAGATAACACAGAGAAGATGAATGTAAATATGATAGAGCATGTGTCGATTAAGTCTTAAACTAAATCCCTCGCATTGAACAGTTTAAAACTCTTATCCTCTACAAAATATACTTCAGAATATATATAAAGATATACACGTGTATATGTACATAATACATTCAAATAAAGAATTAATAAGAGATATTCTCATTGTCTTAGAAGAAATCACTACACGCAGCCTTAATACAGCCATTATGTCACAATCAGATTTGCCAGGCATATGAGGAAAGCATACTACAGTCACTGGCCATGTGATACTGTTACATCACATGGCTAAATACTATGTATTTTTCTCCTATATCCTACTGTAACACTAGTCTCAGGCCGCTAAAGCCTTGGACACGCTTGGGAAAGCGAGATGCATCTTCCTGGAACGTAGCCATGCTTGCTAAGCGAAATCTTAGAACTTCTTGTTAAATACATATTTTGATATTGAAGTCGACTACGACACAACACTTTGTCCTGTTCGTATGTAAAACCCTTTCTTTTAGTGAGATTTAAATTATTGCAGAAACAATAAAATTCAAGTGATTACCAGATGCAACAAGCACAATGCTATTATTTGATTGTAGATTTTATGCACTTATGGGAGATACATATAATGTATAAATATATACAAAATATCAAGAACAGAGTGCACAGATTTTCATGAAAACGGAGCTCCGGATGAAAGAATGTTATACCAAAATATTTTCTTCTTTTTTCACGTAGAATCACTCCCTGCCCGATTGTACTACGATTTCCGGCCTACCCTGTATAATTAATTCGTCTATGCTAGACGCAATACAATAAGAATGAGCGACAAAGCCGAAACTGGTTTACACCTCTGGCGAGACTGTTATCGTTCAAAGGTCAAGTTCGAGAGGTCGAGCTTCCTGTCCGCGGGACAATAATATGTAATCCGAAGCAATTTATATTTAACTTGAAAGCAGATGTCGCGAGGGGTCAAGATGAAGGTCACTCGGAAAGGAAACGCGTCCTTGTTCGCTGCGCATGTAGATCGACGATCCGGGACGATCGATAACCCTTCGACGCGTTCAGAAACGGTATCTCCGACGAAATCAGAACCGGGAAAAGGTGGCCCACGTTTCAAGCTCGCGGTCATTATCATCTGAATGCGCGGTGGCGTCGTTTGAATTTGGGAACGGCTGACGATTTGAATATTTCGTCAATTAAACTACAGATCGATTAGCATAGGTTAGCTGGGTCGCCAGCCGATTTATTTTCATGCGTCGAACGGTCGATCGGTAACCCTCGGTCAGATAGAAATCTTACTTTGAAGAAAACGAAAGCATTTCCCGCCCGCGATTAATCTTTGGGAAAAAGATGAGATAAGACATTCCTTAAGATAAATTTCCAAAATACTTCCTATTGTCTTTTGACGGCTAAATGATTAACCGTTCAATTTAATAATTAAATAAATCATTAAAATATGTTCCTGGTGGTTTACAAAACAGAATCAGTCACCATTAGATAATTTTAAATTTTTACTGATTCATCCTGTATAATGGAAAAGCAAGGATTACTAGTATTGATTTCTTTTTGAAAAAATGGCAACGACGCGTTATAAATAAAAAGAAAAAATCGAAGGAAGGTATCGCTGTTCTAAATATAGTATCAATGACATCTCATGCGTCGCATACGTATACGCACGCGATCGAAGGTTTACGTAACCTATGAACCCGAGCAGGAGGCGCGTGCGCGAGCGGTCAATTTCCGGTAATACGCGAGTGTCCGCTTATTAACGCGCCTCATATGGAGAACACTCTTACAGCTTAAAGCGTTTTTTAACATCTTTATTTTTAAAAATTCAAGGCATTGTGTAAAAAAAAAAATAGTATTTTCAACTTAGAATAGAATTTCTCGGAAACCAAAAGAACCATTTGACCTATATGCTCACTCAAATGTTTAAGTCATTACCAGTTTGTAAAAGTAGGGATCGTTATAATTCAAGAGCGCCAAGGCATGCGACGATAACGAGGTTTCGGCACCTTTTCGAACTTCCGTGGACGATAAGCGGTCGATTAAAAGTACGTCGGCCCGGATTGATACACAGACCGGAAAAAACTATGGGAAAAAACGGTTTTCGGTGTCGAGATATGGAAATTCTACAATCTCCAGTAGATAAATAGTTGTTTGGAAATTTTCAACGCGTCCACTCGAGCGGACGCTTGCAGACAAAGATAAGTAGCTTGTATGCAAATGTATTTCAAATGATTGCGTTAGGTTAATTATATGTATATACGATGTATATAATAATAGATAAGCAATTGGTTTGAAAATTATACGACTTGTATCTAAACTTTATACAAAAAATACTTAGCGAAATACAATTCTAAAAATAACAAGACAATCGTCTACTCAAAATATCTATGTTAAGGATGTATTGGCTATACAGTCAATCCCAAAAGTTTATGTGCCTTAGAAAAACGCATTTCCTATAATTAATTTCCATTTTGCATAAAAATCCGCAGTCAGACAATAAACAAGGGCTGGTAACGTACGAGTGCCGCCTCACGAGTACCGTGGCGTATTGACGCGGATTGCAGAGACGCAGGTTAAATCGAGCAGACGGTGGCGGCGTCGCGACGCCGGCTGCGCACGCCGTGCACCCAACCCTTCCCCACCCACGCGCGTTACGATAGTAGGGGAGCGAGCAGCGAGAGGGAAAATTTATAAAGAGAACGTTGGAGGGGACTGACTACTTGTTGCGCCTCGCGGCGCCCTCGTGACGCCAACATCCCCCTTTACGTTTTCTCAACTACTAACACCGATACCGCCACCGGTAGTACGCCCCTTCGCTGGCGTCGCCACCCGCCGCTACCAGTCGACAAAAATAGACGCGTCGTCGCGACGCAACAGATATCATGGCCCCGGCTGACTCGCACGCGATGTCAACCTGATTCTTCTTTACAATCACTCTTTCTCTAGTTTAGAATTTATAAACATTGTGTAATGTTGTCTCTCTTGAATAAAAAAATAGTGTGTGAGTTATTAAGAATAACTTTTTAATCGATACTTCTTTCCCCAAAGATCTCAATTCCTATATTTTAATTCGTAATACAGTGATTCCTGGAACTTTCTCTATGTTATATGCACGAACAATTTCACTACTGGGGATATCAAATCATGAGACAACTCCGAGAATCTGCACCATTTGCAGATTGGGTCAAACGAAAAATCTGTTTCACCTACCTGAATCTGATGGCCAGGGTTGTTAATATGAAGCTGCTGCGCCTGGTTGATCTGCAAGGTGGATGTGCCGGGTCCAGAAGGAGGCCTGGGTGGCGTGGAGCTAGTGAAAGGTCCCTGGGAGCCAGTCTGGTTTGGCCCACTGCCCTGAGATCCTCTCGGTGGGAGCGGGTAACCGGGACTGCCGTGATTAGGCATCGATCCTGGACTACCATACGGCGAGTACGGTTGCTTGTAGCCTCCGCTGGGTCCTAGCATGCTGGGTTTGCCGCCAGTGCCCGGTTGCGGTCTCTTCATGTCCGCGAGACCCGTCGCGAATTGCGTCTGCGACCCGACAAACATGTCGTTCGTCTGTTGACTTTGGAAACCTGCGGCGCCGTTGTTTTTATGATAGGCGGTGCCCGTGGTCGCCTGGGGTTGTCCACCGGGTGGTCCGGCGCTTCCCGGACTACCCAGATAATCCGACGTGTTACCAAACTGAGTAAACTCAGCATAAGGGGAACGAGCGGTAGGTCCTCTTCCAGCAGCCGCGGCACCGGGGTTGAATCCACCCAAACTGAGCTGCTGACTCTTGTGCTGATGCTGCTCCGCCATCTGCTTGAGAGTTTGCGCGGCGGGACTCATCTCGGACTTGAAGTCCAAACCAGAGTAAGGCAATCTGGCAGGAGAATACTGGGCAGAACCAAGGCCGCCGGGACTCGAGTTAGCTTGTACGTTACTTCCGTTATTAGCAGTGCCGTTGTTCACGCTGTTACTATTCGCGTTCCCGTGGTGTATCGCATCCTTGTCATCCTCGATTTTAATCTGACCATTGTTCGTCCCGATGCTGTTGTTGTTGTTATTATTGTTATTAGCAGCGGCGGCAGCCGCGGCGGCAACTACGACGTTGTTCGCCAACGCGTCCACCGGGATCTTCTCCTCGAAGTCGAAGTCCTTCATGAACTCCGGATGGAAGTCGGAGATCTCCGAGATGAGGTCCTTGAACGCGTCCGAGGTGATGATCTCGTCGCCCGTGTCGTCGCCCATGAAGTCGGAGAAGCCGGGGAACCCTGCGCCATTCGCAGCCGCGTCTTTCTCCAACGCGGCTGCGCATTGTTCAAGATCAACGAACTCGTTGTCCGGCTCTTGTTTACACTCGACCAGGTTGCCGATGTCGACGCAACCGATGCCACCGGGTGTGGGGCCACCGGCGCCACTGGTAGCTGCACCGGTGGGCACCGTCCCGTTTCCAGCCTGGGGCCTCGCGTTGCCGGACGCCGGGGTATCCGGCCCCGATTTCGGGGACGACGACGCGTTCAACAGGTCGCTCTTCACAGACGCGTTCGTTAATGCTTTCACGGTTACGTTCGTCGAGATCTGCTGAGCCTGCGAGTTTGCTGCAGACGTGGTGAACTCCAGTTGCTGAACGATCTCTACGGAGAACTTGGTAAGGCCCTCGTTCGCACCGCCTCCACCACCGCCGCCGCCGCCCGTCGAGTTCGCGCCATTTCCCGACGGATGCTGCCCGTGCCCGTGATGCGGCCCACCCCCACCTCCACCGCCGGGACCTTGCTGGTGCTGATGCTGCGCCTGGGTGCATTGCAATTTGACTGGGGGCTCGCCGAAGCCAGCATCCGCGCCGCCGCCGCCAGCTGGCTCCAACTCCTCGGCCGTCCTCTTCACGAATTTTTGCTGCTGAAACGAGAAAATGAACGATCATTAGCATAATTCACATTGTTAATTAATATTATTGTTACTAATACTGGTTCATTAATGATGGTTTAAGAAGTTATGTTTATTGAAGTTACAATATCTGAAGAATGAAGTCATATTTTTTATTTACTTTATTCATAGATATAAATGATTTATTTCAGCCTTATGGCCCAGAAATGGATCATGGTTTACAATTATCCTGTGTTCACTCATCTCTTTCCTATCACTATTAAACTCTGTACAAACGCAAACAGTTACCACAAATACTTTTCTATGCAGAATATAAAAAAATAGAACAAAATAAATACTCTGACGATATAACTAAACGACTTATTTTATTTAATTTAGCATTGTATGTTTTGTAACAAACGTTAGCATATGTTCGCAAGAAAAAAGGCGGATTTTGGATGGTATAATTATTTTACTTTTAAATTAAAGATGAAGAACGTGAAAAAAAAACATTTTTTTTATTGCACGAATACGGTCGTGGCCACACTGGAATGGTGCTCCACTAAACATGATAATTAAGGAAATACTTCATTTCCGAGCTATAAACGTCCTTAATTGCATACCGGAGGACGTGTTCGAAGCGACCTTCTTAAGCGACACGCATATCATGACCCTGTCTCATGGATTTCCTGTCCTCGCCTGTAAACCTTTCTCAAGTGCTTTCTCAATAAAACGAATCAAATTTAGAATAAAAAAAATTTATATTTTAATCCCAACTGTTTTTGAAAGTAAACTCAATTTATGAGAAATTAAAATGTAATAAACAAGATTCAAGTTTCAATGTGAAATTGAAGTATATTTTTCGTTGTTTACTACAAATGATTTACCTTGCATAAAAGATTGCAGTATACTTATAATTTGTATATTTCTTTACATATATTGTTAATCCTGTCAACTGGAATTTATCTGTTGCGTACAATGCGTTGAAATTCTATTAGATCCTTCATAAATACAAATCATAAATTTAATATCCAACGAACTAATCAACGAATTCATAAAATAAAAAGACTAAAAAAATTATAAACTAAATATTTCAAAAAATGCTTGAATCCAGGCAGTCAGGTTCGCGGACAAAATACGTGCCGTTGGGATGGGGTAAAAGTAGTGGAAAAAGTTTTTCCAGGGCGCGGTCGAACCCACAGACAAGCATCCCCCTACACGTGCACAAGCTAGTGTACATTTGTCATGATTTGAACCAGGATAACCCGAGCGCCGTTCCAAAATCGATAATACGTATTACCCTCTAATAGGGAGTCGCCCGTTTCCGGGATATTCCCTGTCCCCCTTGTGGCTGACTTAAACTCCTCAGAAAAACCAACGCTTGTTTTGATCAAAAAGGAATTATCGTGAAACTATGAATTTTTATGCAGAATATACAGATTTGCTCATTTTTCAAATTTATTCATTTATTATTGTTTATCAATATAACATTAAGTTCAGCAATGCAGATAAGAATTTAATTTATTCCTTAGAAATAGTAATTTACATTTCGTTCTTCTGTGTTCTTATAGATTATGTACATTGGTAAGATTTTTATATAATTCTTCTAAATACAAATACATTATTAAATAAAATGCTCAGATCACTGAAAGAATTAGCTTTTATATTTATGTGACTATTAAAATCTCGTTTAAAATTAAATTCTATAAAATAAAAAAAGGTCACATGTAAATTATATAACAATGTTCAGGTATGTTACAATCCATTCGTGCCCAAAACTATACGAACTCCCGTTAAACACGGACTGTGTCATTCTTGAATCTTCCAAGTAGATTGAATTTCTCGGAAACTTGGAATTTTATAATGAAAGTTCATGATTACGTGAACGTTTGCATAAATCTTCAAAGTATTCGCTATTATTCTTACACAGAGAGCACATTAATAAAATTGCACACAAAATACATAGGTAATAATTATAATAAGAAAATATTGTAATATAGATTGTAAATTAATAAAATTTCATACTATCAAATTGTATATAAAATACGTAGACAACAAAATGATATAGTGTTCGTTATTCCAGATTAATTATTAGCTACGACTTACTAATAAAAAAAACATTGCTCCAAACGCTATGAAATTGAAATACCAGGCCATACAACGCGTTCACAGAATAAATAGAAGAACTGGAGAGTTCATTACTGGTACTCTATCGTATTGCACGTTCGTTGAAGTTTCAAACGTCACACTGGAACGATGGGAGCGGTATTGAGAAGTTTCGAACGTCGCTTCGAAGTTCGAAGAAAGCGATTCTTTAAACCGAACGCACGCGATTCATGGAATCAGTGTTCGAGAACGATCGATCTTTCTGCGTCCGTCGCTTCTACGAACTTGTGCTCCATCCGTTTCTAATTACTCAGTCGTCCGTAACGCAACGTGACTCATTAATGTAACAGTACGACAAACACTATTTCTAAACAATTTTTTGTACGTAAGTCGTACTTCAGTTCAGTTTAATTCCTGCGAAAATATACACAAAATTATTGCTTAAATATTTGCTCTTTTCTCTTACGTTACAGAAATCAATCAGTTTATTTTTAAAGATTTTTGTGATAGACTGTAGATTTAAAGATTAATGAATAATATTATTATTCAGGAATCAACCGGAGACGATTTTAATCGATTGAATTTAATCGTTGTACAATTTTATAACTTGATAAGTAAAATTGAGATTTATTAAAACGCAGTTAAAGCGATGATACGAGGGAGATAAGAAGCTTAAAAGCAACCTTGAAGCACGCGCGCCATCCTGCGTGGGAGGATACGCCGCATCTATTCAACGTTACGTTTCGTTAACAACTATGCTCCGTCAGTGAACTGTTAACTCGACCTAAATATCAGCCTCTGTATATAACGCAACTGTCTCTCTCAAATATTCAAAATATGTGTGTACGTATAGAGATTGTATGTATAAAATTTTATCAAGTAATGTACGTATGAAAGCTACGTGCATATAACAATAGTTAAATGTTAAAACAAATTTTTAATCAACATATGTTTTTCTACCAAAAATCATAAACTTCTCAATTTGAATAAGAATTCATAAAATTCTATCAATCCCATAAAAGAAGTTTTATCATCGAATTGATTGCAAGGAACGATGCTCAGCACTCGACAAGAGAAACGCAGGGATATCATAAAAGTGAATGAAAGAAACACGTGGCCCGACAGATAACGATTATCGCGTTCATTCATAACAACAATGAAATTAAAAGTGATTCTTATCGAGTCGTAACGAATTTTCCAAACGAAAATCTTACGCAACGTATCGGATGGTCTCCGTCGCGAGGCTAATCGAGGGGAAGCAACAATGTTTTTAAGCTTTCAATCCAAGCCCAGTATACACAATCCAGATGGAGCGAATAACCCTGTTTACAATTCAAATTCGCCGGAGGTATTACTCGACGTAAATCTTCTGTTTATCGAACAAACTCGCTCATCCCTCGATCGTCTATCGTGAGTCAATAAGAATTATCACCAAAAACAACAGCAGTCATTGACCGTAGTAGTATTTTTTTGTAAATGTAAAAATGCAAACTCAATCGAATGCGATATTCGTGTAGAGTTTCTTTAATTGAAGTAAGATGAAAATTAATTGTTTTGTATAACTACCTTTATAGATCTTATTAAGAAGCCTTGAAAGAATAAAGTAATATCTTCTAAAAAATATAAGAATACATTTTATTTAATGAATTCAAATACAATGATCTAAAACTTTTTTCTTGAGCTTTTACATGATTATAGCAATTTTTTTGTCAACTCTCTTTTTTCATGATTTTTCACGGCCGCCTTCATTTCTTTCACACTTACCGAATTCATCTTGAAATACTTTAACAGATAGGCGTAAAAAAATTATGGGTGTATGGTATGTCTGTATAGATACTTCTGACAGTCGGTAGTCAGTTTCAGCGAAGCGAGAGCTTCTCTACCTTATATGTAAATTTCTTATCAGCCTCTAAGTAATATCGTGTCAAGCCACGAGTTTACGAAGGCGTACTGTAATTGTGGTGGAAGCGATGCTGTTAATAGGTAGGGTGTGGCAGCCCTGCTTCCGAAGTTATTACGTCCCTATATTATTGATACAACTCCATTACGAGAGTCCTTGGAGAGATAGTTTGGGATCTGGAGAGAGGACACGCGTCATGTAGAGGCCACCTCGCGATCACCCTTTACGCTCTCTCCAAACTTATCGACCCTTCGCGCGCACCTACACTTCGTTCTACATCCGTTGCTTAACGTAAAGTAATTGACATATTTTCACAAAAATTAATCAATTCATTAAACTGAGGTCTGTAATGACTAAAATAAAGTAGCAGTAATTTTTCATAGAATAATTGATTTGAGATTAAGTTTGTCCAAACGAGCCATTAGTTTTACCAGTTTATTATACCCACGAAAAATTTTCACAATATAAAGAAGTGCCATCATAATTATTTCTATATAGAATTAAAAAATGTCGTTTCTTATATGGAATATATAATTGTTTACGAACTCAATACCGGTTTAAGCAGCTTTTGCAAAACTCAGTTATTGGCACTTCTTTGCACCAAACCACAGATATTTGAATGGAAATGTACATGTACCCTTTAGTGAAAGAAAGTAAAGACTCTGGAAAGGACACAGTGAATTTATCGGCCATAAAGCCCATTCGGAATGATTTTATTCGTAAGGTGAGTGGTATCTCCGTGGAGATAAGGCTGAGAACATGGTCGCGGGAGGATCGAACAGACACGAAGCAGACTTCGAAAGTATTTACAAGGGTCTGCGTATACGCAAATCCATATTTAGACTGGATATCGGTTCGGTTACTTTTAGATGAGTGGATAGTGCTCCGGCGTAGGCGCTTGTTCGGTAGTGAATTTCGTTATTTCTATTTTTAAACTTATAAATGAATATTATTAAAATAATTTAGTTTATGTTCAGAGGCTCCTGATAATTAGATTGCGAATTTTTATGAAAAGTAGTACGTTTTA